AGAGCAATACCTGCTGTTTGCAGTTGAGGCTGCTCAGTTTCTGCCAGATAAGGTGATGAGGCAGTTTACCCAGATTACAAAGCTGATTGGCAGAGCCAGGGTTTGAATCCAGGTGTGTCTAACTCCCAAACCTGCATCCTTCCTGCTCTATCATGCCAGCTGGCACGGACCCTCTGCCCCTTAGATGGTGGGGATGGAAGTAATGACAACAGGAGGCAGGAATACGTGGCTTGAGTGTCCCCCAGCCACAGTGAAGGTCTGCTGGCACTGCCCAGGACCTGACCCCAGATTCTCAGTGACCTCATCTGACAAATGGGAGTGATTCTACTGTGAGCTTCAAAACTCATTATAAAGGCTAAACAGAATTTTGATTGTGAAGGCATTTTGCACAGTGGGTCATCATCAATATTTAAAAGCAACAAACATTTAAAATTCCTTTTTTTTTGTTTTTGATGGAACTGAACTGGGGGATGCTTTGCCACTCAGCTACATTCCTCGCCCCTTTTAAACATTATCATTATTATGTTTAAAAATACTTTTTAGTTGTAGATGGACACAATATCTTTATTTTATTTACTTATTTATTTTTATGTGGTGCTGAGGATTGGATTCAGTGCCTCACATGTGCAAGGCAGACATTCTACCCCTGAGCTACAACTCCAGTCCCTCATTATTTTCATTTAGAGACAGGGTCTTGTTAAATTGCGGAGACTGGCCTCAAACTTTCAATCCTCCTGTCTCAGCCTCCAGAGTCCCTTGGATTATAGGTGTGCCACAAACACGGTCCCTGGCACAACAAACATCTAGAAGAAGGAGGTCTGTGGAGTCAGGGAAATGGAAAAGAGCCGGTGGGACCTCTGCTGGAAGCCCTAGAGGATGGGGGGTTGTTCTGGTTGGGGATGTCTTGGGAAAAGATCCAGTGGGAGGCTCCAAAGTATCTGGATCTGGCAGAAGAGCTCCCCCTAGTGGAAGCTAGGCGAAGCTGCAGCTGGGAAGGTGGGGGAGTATATCTTGTGGTTTTGCGGGGCGGGGACTAGGAGGCAGATAACTTGCAGAGAATCAGGCAGTTGTTTCTGTTGCTTTTATTCTATTTTAGGGGAACATCTGACAATTTGTGCACAACACAGGGGTGACCTCTCTAGTCATTTTGGCATCTCCTGGGCTCTGTTGTGGGGCCCTGTCTTCTTCTTTGGAGGCTGGAAGAAGTTTCTGGTCTTTTCTCCCGCCTCTCAGTCCCCTAGCCCGTCCACTCCCCGTCTTCTGAGGGTCCCACGTTCTCCTGGATTGAGCCTGCTGGGGGTCTTCCTTGGTGCTCCTGTTGGGGGTTGATTCTGAAGTGAGGGAGCACATTGGGGTTGGGGTGGGGGCACTCAGATTGGCCCAGCTTCAGGTCACAGTATCTGAAAGCCAGTTGACCCCACGGCAGGGTGTGGGGGGACTTGCTGCTGGCAGGTCACCCACACCTCGTTGTGCTGAAGAACATCTGTTCCCTTTCTCCCGAGTTATAGTCAGAAACGTCCTCTCTTGTTTGGTTACCCTCGGGAGCAGGGTGAGGCAGTGCTGGGCTGCAGGAAGGGGAACAGGGGACTCCTTGCTCCAGATAGGAATGGGAGAAGGACACATGGAGAGTGGGAAGGACACCTTGACCACCCATGCCTGGGACACAGGGGCCACATCCACTCGAAAAGGCTGCTCTGCTTGGTGCCCTCTCCCTCCTCAGCCTCAGACACCTGCTGTGACTTCTCAGGGTCCTCCTGGTGACTCCACAGAGGCAAGTTCACATGCTCAGCCCAGCAGGGAGCTTAGGGACAATTCCACTGATTCCCTTCCTTGTGGGGAAACTGCCACCCTGAGTTGCTCCCATCTGCTGCCCTTGACCCCACACCCCTGCCCTGCTCATCAGTGTGCCTGTGGGGCTACTGCCAGGAGCCTCTGGGCAGTCCTCCCTGCTAAAGTCACCACCTGGGACCAGGACGAGCCCTGAGAGTTTGTGCAAACTTGTCCAACGTCACACAGACAAGACTCATCAGCTCTGGCCATGGCACTGGATTTCCATCCCACCCCCCGAGTGGCATCTGTGCCCTTGTCACTGAGTTGTCCCCTTGCCTTCCCTGTGGCTCCCTAGCGCCCACTCCCCAGTTGCTGGGGCTTCCAATTGCCCCCACCGTCTCCTCTCTTTGCACAGGAAAGAAGCAATTTGTTCAGGAAACAAGGGTGTTGGGTTTTACATCTTTGATCTCTCTCTCCAAAGAACAATCTTGCTGAAGAATTTGAAGAGAGAAAAACAACCATCAAAAAGTTTTTCTTTCCAAGAAATGATATTTTCTTTATTCCTTGATTTTTATGTAAACAGGTGGGAGTTTGGAACTAACCTGTACTCAGAAAAGATAAGAAAGAGGCCCTGCTGTTTCCTAGGCTGTGCCCAGGTGTGATCCTGGACCAGAGAACCGAGTGGGAAACTCCTTTAGCAACTCAACATTGTTTTCTTCGCCAGTGTCTGGGTGACCCACCTTCCACTGTGGTCTCTTTCTCCAACACTTCACCCCACTTCTCTATCCAGATTGATCGACTCTGTTCAGCCCTAGACTTTCTTTGTTAATGAATCCAGAAGGGTCTGTATTGTTCAGTCCAGAGTTATCTATGCCAAAAAACTCAGGAAGGTCCACTCTGCCCAGCCCTGGATTACCTAGAGGGAGGATCCAATAGTTGTTCTACGCCAGCTCTGTCCAAAGTAAATTTTATGGGTGCCAACGTGCGTGGGCACATTCAAAAAATATAAAAAGGAAACAGTGGAATCAATGCTGATAACATTTATTTAACTCAATAGATCAAAAATATTATCAAATCAATGCATAAACAATATAAAATGATTCATAAGTTATTTCACATTTCTTTACAGTGTGGCTTGAAATTTGGAGTGTATTTTATACTTATAGCACATCTCAATTCAGATGTTAATATTTCATTGCAAATACTTGGTTAGTATTTAGGTTTCACAAGATATAAATTAGATTAAGGTGAAATAAAATATTGAGTTCTTCAGTTTCACCAGCCACTGTGCGAGCGCTTGGTCACAACATGTGGCTGGTGGCTGGTGTGTAAGGCCACGCGGTCCCATACTGTTCTACCCAGGACGGTCCACTAATGAATTCAGGATGTTTTATACTTTCCAGCTATGGATCAGCTTTGCTTCACTCAAGACGGTCTACATCAGGGTTTCTCAGCAGTGGCACCATTGATTTTTTAGGATGATTAATCCTCTGTTGGGGTGGGGGCTGACTGTTTTGTGCATTGTAAGTTATTTAGCAGCATGGTTGACCTCTAACCATCAGATGCCAATGAACTCTAAATTGGTGACAATAAAAAAAAAATGTTCCCAAGACAGATGTGGTGGTACACACCTGTAAATCCCAGCAGCTTGAGTGGCTTAGGCAGGAGGATCACAAGTTCGAAGCCAGCCTCAGCAACTTAGGGAGGCCATAATTTAGTGTCTCAAGATGAACAAAAAAAGGGTTAGGATGTGGCTCAGTGGTTAAGCACCTCTGGGTTCCATCCCTGGTACCCTCCCCCTGCCAAAAAGCAAAAACACAAACAAAAAACCAGTTCTCAGACATTGACAAATAAGGGGAAAGTATCACTACCTGCTGCCTCAGTTGAGAACAATAGTTGAGAACAATAGTCAACACTGCCCAATTTAGGACTATCTATACTGGCTGATTCTGTTTTGTCTACCCTCGCCAGGAGCGCCTATGCTGTCAAATGCAGAATAGTTTGCCTGTCTAGGTCAAGGTTTTCCATAACAGCCCATGGGTCTATACTATTCTGTATGCTACTTCTTATTTGCTTGGTCTTGGGTGATCTATGCCAGCAGTTCTGAATTGGTACTTCAAGAATAGAACCAGACTCACAGATCCAGTTCATGTGGCTTACACAGTGTTTCAGAATATTTGAAGTAGTTGCCAAAATTTTTTTAATCAAGAGATTTCACTTAGAAATCTGGAGTTTACCTTCAGAGCTCTGGCCTCAAGGAAGCCCCATTTCCATTTAGTGGTGGTCAGCTGGAACTGAGTCCTGGTTGCTCTCTTAAAGTGAGGGTGTGTGCTCTCCGAAACTTTGTGTCCACCCTGTCCTCACTCAACTCATTTCATAGAATAGTAATAACCTTCTGAGCCCTCTAAGCATTGGGTCATGCTCTTGGATCCACACTGACCTATACAAGACTCTACACTGGTCAGTCCAAGCTGGTCTTGGAGAAGGATATCAAGGAGGCCTGTAGATTCAAACCACCCCTTCATCTTTTGAACGAAAGTATGGATTTCCAGGCTTATCTCAGACTTTTTGAAGCAGAAACTAGGGGGCAGATGTTTTTTTTAAAAGTTTCACAGTTGAGTCTGGGGATCCCCTAATTATAAACTACATGTCCAGATGAGCCACTCTAGGGAGGTTGTCCATAGCAGAAAGCTCCCTGGAGTCTTCTAGGGTCTCTGGCTGGGTTTTGCGACTGCCCAAAGGCTCCTGACACCAGGAAGGCAGCTCCTGACCTTGGATGTTACCTTGAGGACCCAGGGGACACAAGAGGTTACATTAGTGAACGGAACTAACTACCATTAGGTCCCTTCCCCCAAATGGATGCTGTCCCTGAATCTTACTCTGTACAGTCTATTCTTGGAGAATTTATGGGTCAGGAGGCTAACGTGCATTTCCACAGTGGTGGCTATTGGGAGCTTTGTCCAGTTCCCTCCCCGGGGCTCAATAACCCCTCTCTGCTGCCTCCGTGGTCATTTCATGGTGTGACACTCACTGGACACTGGCCTCAGCTGGTAGGAACTTCCGTGATCCTGATGAAAGCCAGACACTGATGAGTTAGTGGGTGTCCTATCAGGGCCTGTCTCCTTGCCTCAGTTTGGAGGCCTCCCAGCCCCTGTAGGATTGGTCAAGGTCTCAGGTGTATTGTGGGACAGCTTCTCCCTCCACTCAGCATCTTCCTCCCTTCCTTACAGGTGGATCTCCCAGGAACATCTTCCCATAAACCTTCTGCATACAAAATATTCCTTCCAGCCTCTGTTTCCAAGGAAGCCACTCTAAGACCCCCATCTTCTTGGCAGTTCTGTGCTGAGACCTGGCATCTTTTCAGCACCAAGAAAATCATCTTAGAACATCTGGGTCCCTTTATGGCTTAAAATTCCATAGAAAAAATGGGCTTTCCAGCTGTAGCTCATGGCTGAACGTCTGCTGTTTGCTGAGCAAGTCCCTGGATGATTTGGATACTGTTGTGGCCACCTCAGATGTTGATATAAAACAAAGAGAGACAGTGAGAAGCACATTCCATTTAAATAATCAAACAAAATCCAAACGCTTGTACACCACAGCTGTTTAGGAGGAAACCGCTCCAGTTCCTTGGCTCCCTCCAACGAGGGGCCTTCTGTCTTCCGAAGTGGTGTTTGTCTTGTGGTTTTTACTTACAAGTGCAAAACTGAGGTTTCTGTTTCCTAGGTGACCAGCCCAAACTAGAAAGGCATACTTTGTAGTCAGGCGAGGACTTCACTTTGTCCCCCACACGGAACACCCAAGGGATATTTCCAGAAAACATCTGGTTGGGTCAGTCCCCTGCCTAGGAACTCCAGGGGTACTCCATCATCTTCAGAATAAAATTCAAGTTCTTTGATCTAGGATTCAAAATCCTTTGTGAATCCCAGCTTCCTCTCAAGCCAGTTCTCAGGCATTCCAAGCTCCAGCCCCAATAAATCATGGATGCTTTCCTTGAACATTCCCTGGTTATTTGTGTCTAGGTATCAATGAATGTGCTATTTCCTTGTCCCAGAAATCCCTCTGCTCTTTGTGTTGTGGAAGAACTTCTACTCATCTGTCAAGACCCATTTTGAATATCATCTGCCCTGGGAAGCCCATCCCCAGTCCCATTGCTCCAGACAGAACCATTGCTGTCCCCTTGGGGATTCCACTACATCTAAAGCCCTTTATTAGTATAGCCTAGTCTCATGCCATTGGTGTCTACTCTTTGATGGAGAATGAAAGGCACAAGTCCAAGTTGACTAGTGATCAGAATCAGGGTGTGCACTGCCAGCCCTTTCATTCCCTGGCTGGGGATCAGTTCATACCATAGTGGAAAGAGATGCTCCCTTTAAAAGGTCTGCATCTGAAATTTTCAATGAAATGCACACATCCTGCCTCAAGCACCTTTACTAAGAGCTGACCCTGATGTCTATTCTGCTCTGGCCTAGATTCTGCTCTTCTGTTTGTCCCAGGTGTTCTTGCTCTGAGACACGTTGATCCCTAATAGTAAAAATCACCTGGCGATCTCATATTAAATTAGAATTAGAAAAATCCAGGAAGAAATTTTCATATCTTCCACCTTCCCATCAGTCTCTGCTAGAGAGCGTCAGGGCAGGGAGGTACAGAGTTGCCCTCAAATCTTCCTTCCCTCCTTCCTTCCCAGCAAGTTGGATGGGGGCTCCCCTGGCCCGGAGGTTTGCAGTCTGATTATGTTTTTTTTTTTTTTTTATTACTCCCTTCTATTGCTCATTTGGATTCAGGCACCACTTGCCTCCCACGACAAGGAGGGCATCTCTAACCACTGCATCTTCTACCTTTCTGTTTAACAAACACTTAAACAATGCTTGCTATGTGCCAGAGACTTGCACTTTTCTTAACACCTCAGTGATTAACATGCAGGATGTTTGGGAAGGGTGGAAGAGTCTTGGCCTCAGCCCCTGGGGAAGCAGAATTGGGCAGAGGGAGAAGTTGAACTGTGGCATGGTCCCAACCGTTCAGCCAGCCCCAAAGAACTCTGGAGCTGGGATGGTCCTCCAGAGTTGCCTGAGTGGGGACAAAGTGGCCAGGCCTTTACGAACCCTGATCAGTCATGGACATAAGCTACCCTTGGAAAGAGGTGTGTTTCAGGCAAGGCGGTTTTCTGCAGCTGAGGCAATTCCCCAGGGGGCCCACAGCTGCAGCTGGTCTCCTGGCAGCTGGAGGGAAGGGATTTTGTTTCACTGTCACACTGTCCACCACCCATAGCCATCTCATTTGATTCTCAGCACAATCTAGAGAAAACGGTAGTCATGTCATCTCTGCTTTACAAATGAAGAAACTGAGGGTGAGGAAGTTAGCCTACTTTTTTGCTCAAGGTCATGCGGCTCGTGCATGGGAGAGCTGGAATTCCAACCCAAGTTCACCAGTCCCAAAGTCTTTGATCCAAACCAGCCTTCATCTCGCTTGGGCTGCCCCAAGACCCTCACTAGAGACCCTGGGAGTGTTTCCTAATAACTACGCAGAATTAAAAATCATAAACTCCAAACACTTTAAAATCAGACTTGATTAAAAGTTGAGACCAGAGGCTTCGAGTCTGAGCAGCGGGTGCCTTGAGAGGGCACAGCGCTTTTGAGAATGCAAAACCCTGGATTAGCCATTAGCCTTTATTTAGATAGACGAGAGAAGTGCAGCAAATATTTACATACCAGTTACCATGAAATTCAAGTTCAATCCGTATTTATTCTGTATATTGTCATCATAAAGTTGATTTTCTGTCCAAGTGAATTTCCTAAGGGGACAAGGAGCTTTCCTGAAATATTGAAAGGTTTATTTTAATAGTTCCAAGGACTGTAGACTTTTACATTTGAGACCGTGAATATTTGTTATAGGAAACAAAATTTATTAGAATGTTTGTAGAAAACCGTGCTTGTTCACTTAAAGTTGTAAACTACGATTTTCATAAGAGGTTGACTTTATTCACCAACTCTGTGAAAATGAGCCCATATGGATCTCGTCCTAATGAGCTCAACCAACACAAAAGACTGTGCTGATTCTCAATTAGGGACACAAATAAAGCCATTCGTCCTTGTAGGAAGATTATTTTGCAAGAAAAATAAGCGACTCCAATGGAAAACTTCAAACTAATGCAGAGCCGAAGTTTTCCATGAAAACTGTAAGCCTGTGAGTGATGAATTGCCCCTTTCCATCTGGGGTCTGTTTTTCTGCCAACCTGCTCAACTGTGAGCCACAGTGCTTAAGTTCAACCCCAGGGTCTTTTCAGTTCTATTCAGTTTGATCTGGGGGTGCTGTGGGTGGAATTGCTGTCCACCCACCAAACCAAACTAAACACAACAAAAAAATGTGTTGGGATTCTAACTCACAGTTCCCTAGGGTGAGATTTTACTTGGAGACAGAGTCTTTCAACAGGTAACCAGATTAAAGTGAGGCCCTTAGGCTCGGCCCTAATCTTATATGACCTTATAAAGTCAATAGCAGAGGAGTAAGCCACAAAGGTGTCCCTGCCTGCCTCTGGGTCATCCTCCCAGTGGCCCTGATGAACGTGCATAGAGGGAAGACTGTATGACCAAGAGACACGGGGAGAAGCAGGCCATCTACGAGTCAGGGGACAGATCCCTCTCTCTAGCCCTCAGAAGGAACCAACTCAGCCAACGCTCTGACTTCCAGCCTCCAGAACTAGGAGACCATCAATTCCCGTCGCTAAGGCCACCCAGTTTGTGGCAGTTTGTTAGCACAGCCCTCGCAGATGAATACTTGGAGGGGCTTTCCTGGTTTCTTCCTGAAGTGCTCTGGGTGACAAGCCACATCGCTCTTCTCATCCTGCCTACACTGCTTCAAAGGGGCAGAGGCAACTTCCTAGCGAGGGTCCCAGCTGCCTCAGTGACTTTCTGGAAAACCATTTATCAACTGCTCCCTGTTGTCTTGGAAGTCCTGAGTGGTACCACCTTTGGGTCGTCCATGATCATGATCATAGCAAGTGTCCCTGTGTCTCTCTGGTCATCACTTCTCCTCTTTCTCCTCTGCTTTCATTCCTGGGCCGGCCTTATGTCTGCCTCCTCTCGCCCCTTTCATTTCCACTGGGATCAGCCGCAGCACCCATTCAATACACCTATTCAAATATCCCCTTCCGCCCATGACCTTGCATCCCAGCCACAATGACAGGCCTCTCCAGCATCAGCCGCGCTGTAGGGAAGCTCTGGCGCCAGTCCACCTGTCGGGACTGAGATTCATTTTCTTTCTAGGTTCTTGTTCTTTCTTGGGTATCATTTTTAAATGGAAATTGGCACCAGGTTGATGATAGCAAATCTGGAAAGTGAGAAAAGAAATTTATTTTTCACTGGTGAGCCAGGAAAATGCTTTAAATATAAGCCGTGGGTGCAATTGGGAAGTTGGGCATTGTGAGTGAGAGCTCTCTGCGTGTGTATAAATCTGCGAATTCCCATCCACTGCTTTCAAAATATGGTTATGGATTGGTGTGTGCAAATGTATGTGCCTTTGTGGATCTTTCTGTGGAGAGGTGTGCACCCCCCATGTGTGGACTTTGTGTGTGTGTGTGTGTGCGTGCATGTATGTGTGTGTATGCACGTCATTGTGCATGCAGGTAGGTGTGACTGAGTACATAAGTGTGCACTAGTTGTAAGTGTATATATACTTGTGAGTGTGTACAGACAGTGATACTGGGTCTCTACCAGGCAAGGGAAGGAGTGGAACTGGTACTGACTGGGACATGAGATCCCAGAGGAGATCCACTGAGGGATGAACACTGGCTTCTCCTGCCCAGTGCTGCCCAAGTCAGCTAGATGCCGGGTCTAGGTTTAGAGACAGATGTGCCAACTTCCTCAGCTTCTTTGCTGATCCACGTCCGTGCCACTGGCCTGGGCTCAAGCACACTGTCTTTGCTGAGAGCTTAGAAGCCCAATGGGTCCTTCTGCCAGGAGCCAGGCTGCAAAACTCCTCTGCTTTGCACACTCCATTCTAAGGCCATGGTGGGGGAGGCACCTGAAAACCCTACTCACACTATTCAGCTCCTGCCAAGCCCAGGCCACATCCATCTGTCACCTGGGCCTATTTTGGACATGGCCCAAGGATGGCCCTTAGCTGTGTCATCACTTGGTTACTCTGATAATTGTCCTTAAGTTTGATTGAGCAAAGTGATACACTGGACACCCCTCCTTGAGAAACCCTCATTCTCTCTAGCCTCCCAAGTTAAAGACAGATGCATGTGACCAGGTTCTCTGGCACTTTTCTTGCAGCAAGTCCTTAGTAAAAGCTGTTGAGGTTGCTGGTGGAGATTGGTGAGGTGACTTTCTGGCTTGCAGCCTTCATTTTGCCTTGTGGTTCCACTCCCTCCCTGGCCTTGACCTGACCTTCTCACCAGCTGAGACTGCCTCTCCCTCCACCCAGAAGGGGACAGGATATGCTTTCAGGCTGCCATAACAGAATACCACTTATAAACAACAGAAACTTACTTCTCATAGTTCTGGGGGCTGGAAGTTCAAGATCAAGGTGCTAGTGGGCCCGGTATCTGGGGAGAGCCCTCTGCCTTGTTCATAGAGGGATTTCTTTTTGCTGCATCCTCACGAGACAGAAGGGGTGAGGTAGCTGGCTCTGGGGTCATTCTTCTAAGGGCATTAATCTCATTCATGAGGGCTCCTCTCTTGTGACCTAATCAGCTCTGAAAGAACCCATCTCCAGATGCTGTCACCCTGGGGGTTGGGGTTCAGCAAGGGGAGTGTGGGGAGATTCAGGACTTCAGCCCAGAGCAGGCTTTAGGTTATTTGAGTCTTGCTTCATCCAGGAAAACCAGCCATCAAGGAGGTCTCCTTGACATCCTGCCAGCATCTCTTCTCAAAGGGACCCAAAGGGGATGGGACCCTAATGGGTGTGGCTCAGTGGCCCTGCCCAGTAGATCTGAGGACCAAGCAGGACTGAGGAGTTCGGGGTGCACTTTCCAGGAGATGGAATGAAAAAGTTACAG